GGGGGGGGGGGGGGGGGGGGGGGGGGGGGGGGGGGGGGGGGGGGGGGGGGGGTAGGAAGGTTTAATATGGTAGTGCAAGGAATTGCGAATTGGGTCGCAAAGGTCGGAGACTAAACGGTGGCAACAGCGACATGCCTTGGCGATCCTTACCACCTTGATGCCACGACAACGACGGCATTGGCAACAACAACAACAACAGCGTTGGGTGACGCTCACCACTTTATTTAGGCGAGAAAGTAGCTCCCCTCCGGTGCACAGCTCGAGAATGAGGCAGATGCTGTCCCTGCGGTTCAGTTCCGTCCCAAATTCGATTCAACCCCCATCGCGGGTTTGTACGGCCGGAGGAACGAACGGAAAAAAGGCCGCAAGAAGATTGACGCTCAGACTGCACCATGTCACGAGACAGTACAGAACCAGCAACATGGCAGCGACAACGACGACGAGGAGGACGGCAACAAGCAGCAACAGCAGTAGAAGCCGGACCAAGCAACAGAAGTACATACGTCTTACGGCTCACCTCGTGGGGGATTCGTAAATCTCCAGGAGTCGGCAAATGTTAGGGTGATTTAGCTGCGACATGACCATGATCTCGTTGCGCAGCTCGTCCGTCTGCGACCGACAATACAATAGATAAGAAACATGAAGAGAGAAAAAGAACAACGCACAAGGTGAGCATCTCATCTCAAGGTTGGCCTATCGAACACGTCGCAAGCACCGCGCACCAGCAAGAAGAATCCCACGGGGTCTACCAATGGAAGGGGGGCAAGGTCGCCAAACACAACACAGAACGCGTCTAAAAACACTTGGCGATATCAACAAAAACCATCAACGCCAGCACCAGCTTCCCAAGCTCGTATCCGAACTACGTATGTCAATGCCAGACGAAGAAAGCCAAGCAAGGGGGGCAGGGGGGCAGTAGATAGGTCTCGCCAATCGAGCAGGCAAGCGCCACAAACAGAGAATACGTGCCATGGGTCAGGGTTGCAGCAGCAAAGCTATAGCAGGCGGGGAGGAGGACAAGCAAGACGCGCGCCGCCGGGGAAGAGTAGATACCAACCAACAGACAGCCCCCGCCCCCCCCCCACTGACCTTGTGAAAGTCTTCGAGCCTGCCGAGCTTCAGGGTCTTCATCGCGTACGAGACGCCGGTCTTCTTGTGGCGCACCACCTGCACGAGGCCCGAGATGCCGACGCCGAGGATGGCCCCGACGCCGGTCGAGCCGGCCGCCTCGGCGAGGTCCACCTTGCTCGACCGCTTGGTGCGGCTGTCGTTGTCGCTCACGTCGTACGCGGCTCGCACGTCGCCCACCTCCGAGAGGATGAGGTTCTGCAGGGTCGCCTGCTTGTGCCGTCGCCTTGGAAGTGTTGTGGCGTGGCATGGTGTGGTGTGTTACGGTGACGTGTGGTGTGGTGTGGTGTGGTGTGGTATGGTATGGTATGGTATGGTATGGTATGGTATGGTATGGTATGGTATGGTATGGCATGGCATGGTGTTGGGTGGTGTGGTGTGGTGGGTATGTGCGTGTATCGTCGTCGATAAGGGTGGCACGTACGTGCGGGGATTGTGAGGGGGAAACGAGCCAGACAAGGTGGGGCTTGTGCGGGGGGGGGGGGGGGGGGGGG